CGATATTTTTCAATACCATTAGCATGTTGTTTTTTTACCAATAAGTTGACTGGCTTCTTTGTGCCACTACGTAATGTTTGCAGTTAAATATAAGTTTACAAGCAAGACCGGCGGTTCCGAATCTTACGATTCTCATCAGTTGCTATATGGTGGGATGGTTTAGGTGAATTCTGAACCATTCCGTATTGCTTGATTTGGTACGCGTTTATGATCCACCCTGGTTTGTTTGGAGGATCGAAAATGGTGCGGTTTGATTGGTTCCTTGCAAAAATACAATCAAAATGAGAAAGAATGGCGAAAGCGACCACTCTTTCAAGAATAGGTTCACTGCCGAAAGATCGCGGCAACTTGATCTTTTGCCGGATCGAAAGAGGTTGCCGACCAAAATGCAGACGGCTGCTCGAAAAGAGCATGTGAATTTCTTAAGCCAGAATATCGGCTTATAAGCCCAGTGATGGCAGGAGACAGACTGAGGAGATTGAACTCTTCGATTAAAGAACACCAAAGTATGCTTGGGAAACTGAAAAGAGTAGTGAACGTTTTGAAAGAACATGATTCTACGCTTTTCCAGTCTAATGGACTTATCTTGAAGCAAGGAGAAGAATTTGCTCACGACTTCAATGTAAAGCAGATCCAGTGCGTCGAGGCTAAGGTGCAAAAGGTAACGCGGGATACAGAGACACTAGAACAAAGTAAAGACAGTTTTCGTAGCATTTTCAAGGGCCTACATAGAGACCGCATCAGCAAGGGAAGAAGAAAAAAAGAAAACCGTCGAAAATCGACTGCAAGAAAAAAGAAAAGGTTTGAAAACAACGTCTAACGAGTGTATAGTATTTGTGTCGGAAACCCGCTAGGTAATGATCTTCCGAAATGTCTTCTGTATCCTCCTTGCCTTGCCGTCCCTGAAGGGTGCATCGACGTTGAGAAAGTTTCCGAATTGCTTTTTGATCGAGATGCGGCATACATTGCACAGCTCTTGCAAGGAAACCATTGCAGCAACGCCGCAGGAAGCAGAATTATCACAAACCTCAAGCCGGAGGTTAGAGATAACGTGTACCGCTTCATGTACCCTGAAGAGTATTGTACAGTACCGCAAATGATCCCCAACCGCAAATGATCCCGAGACCGCAAATGATCCCCAAAATGGACCGTAAATGATCCTCGACCGCAAGTGATCCCTAAAGTCGACCGCAAATGATCCCGTGAAAACTTGAGAAATGGAATGGATTTTATGGGACTGATTACAAAAAAGGACTGATTATAAAAAAGAAACCTTTTTCTCTCGCCTTTTAAAGAAAAAGGGAAGGAGGACGCTACATCTCAGGTCAGTTTATACAAGGCGAAAAAAAAAATGGAATAAATCTGAAAAGGTGTGGTATTAACCGTATACTTCTTCCTTTGTCGATAGCTTCAATTTTCTTTCAAGAATGTTTCGTCTTTTGAAAAATTCAAGACAGGCAGGACGTTACGCAGAAAAATTATTTTAACGCCTAGAAGCTCAACTTTTCTACTGAGGAATACAAAGCCGGGCACCCTCCACCTAACAAGAGCTTTATTGACTTTACTGATCTTTTTGAAAGCGTGAAATTAATCAGCCAGAATATTTCATTTTGATTTTTTCTGAAGTGTTAATTTTACGTGATAAACCGCAAGACATTTGTTCCTAACTTAGGTGCCCGTTACGAAACAAGACATGATTTAACATAAACACAAGTCAAAATGTCCCCGAATTTATCAATGTTTTCAGGTTTCGGTTTATTTCGAAATGGCATGCAACTTTCTTACATCTCATGAACGTGTTGTGAATAGTTATATTAGCGTTTTTATGTATATTCACTTGTTGTGCTTTGCTGAAGACAGTTACCAGGAATCTAAACCTGGTAATGAGAAACGCAAAGCCAGGTAAGCAGTAGTTATCGCGTGACAAAACATCGTAAGAAACCGTCACATTCACGGACTAAAACAAAATCGCTTATGATTATTTGGATCCAGGAGGCACTTAGGAGAAAATTTAACAACCTAAAACCCTTATTTAGCGGCGATGAAGAGCACTGCATTTCAAAAGAGGTCAAAGGAAATGCTCTTGCATCAAAGGGCAAATCATGCCGACCAGAAACAACAATAACCGCAGAAAATGCGTGTCATGACCTCTCGGTATGAAACAAGCGGCAAAAATCATATTTGCTCAGTCAAAACGTTTTCCTCAGAGGTATAATCTACCCGCCAGAGCCGGAGAAAAGTCATTGGAACAAGCAAAAAGTCGTGTGTTGCCTACCGACTTCGTTTTTACTCTTGAATGATTTTTTTCATTTAGTTTTTATTCATATATTTATTTGAGAAGTAAAATTTAGCTTTTAACCTGACTTATTTAAGACTTGTTTGTTGGGTGCAATGCTTTTAAAAAGTACAAATAAATTGTATAGACGTGTGACTTATTACAATAATCAAGAAACTCCTTCCTGTGCGAGTTTCTCGAGGAAAGTTACCCCCGGGCCATAACGGCAAAATCTTTACTCCAGTACTGATATTTGTCGTGTTCATGGTTATAAGCGTTCGAAACAAGGATATTTTGCAGAGACTGGTCATATCTGTGGCAGCCCCCAAACCTGTCTCGAGGAAAATTAAACCCACAAAATAATGTTGAACCGGGCGGTGAGATACAGTCCAGTTTGAGGGCGCAAATCACAACCCATTTCATTATATGCCTTTGTACTTCATCCTTGTTTATGTAAATCACTGCACTGGCCTGAAGCATGTCCTTAACTGCGCCTTCTTTCATCATCGGAAAGTATTCAAACATGCCCGGTTGAGTAGCGGCTATTATGGAGTGGCCGGTTGTGTCGAGATAAAACACTGCGCCTGTATTGTGGCGGGACATAAGTTCTATTACATTATTGGCTAGGTTTCCTAAGAATTTGACAGATGAATCAAACCACATTGTTCCATCAAATTCAGAAAGCATTTCTTGAATTATCAGCGGTTTCCAGGCATAATTTTGCAGGTTACGAACGTGTTCAGGATATGCATTAAAGTCGAATTTTCTGTACACTAGGTCAGGCATGTTTTTAACTTCATTGATCTGCTCATCGCTTAGTCCAAGATCGTAGAAAAAACATTTCGTTCCAGGGAAACTCTTTCTGAAATCTTCTATGTGAGGTTTGAATTCGCCGTAGTGGTTACTCGAACACCCGGTTACAGGAGTCACGAGATCAAAAAATGGCGTCTTGGCATCAACGGACTCGATTGGCTTTCGCTTAAAGGTTTGATCGCGAAGAACTCTCCTTACCACAGCTAGAGCTGAATCATCAAAGTTGAACTCTTTTCCAGTTATGGAAGAGTTAAGTCTAGAAACATAATGGCCGATTTGGAAACGTTCATCAGCAGGAATTTTCGTAGTTACAATGTCTTTAGTGCTGGTAGCAACACTTTCCGTGGCGTTCACAGTCTTCGCTCCACCATGATTTTGACCGGCCTGAAGTTTGGATGAATCATGAGGAGTTGTGTAGCGTGACTTGAATATCAAGTAAGCAAAGGATGAACCAATCAAGATGGCAAGAAGCCAAACGTACCTCCTGCTTATGTTCATTCTGGCTTGAGTAAGGCTTTAAGGAAGAATTTTATCTACAAGATATAAATGGACACAAATAAACAGTCAGAAAGTGTCTCATCAGACATCACACGAAATATCACCAACTCGAAGCAAGGTTCAGTAGTGGTGGTGTAGCAGCACTCGCCCTTTATAAATTTGCCGGCCTGGGTTCGCTACACGTGGTTTCAGTTTGCTGCAGGTTCTCTTCGTTGCTAGGGTTAACTTTGGACCTTTCGGTTTGGTCAAAAACTCCCACTCCCATATTGCAAATTAATCTGAAAAGAACCCTTTTAAAGAGATTTAGGAATTCTTAGGAATATCCTAGGAATTCCTAAGAATAAAATGTTTGAATTTTGACCTTGGAATTCCCAAGACTGATTGTAATTATGCCCATTGCAGCTTAGTTTGTTTGTCAGGTCAGTGACAGGACATGAAAAGCAAGTCAGTCTCAACTTAATTCTCAGTTCTCGACTCCTTTCCAACACATCGCTGATGTAACAATTTCCATTCACGCATTGTTGCCATTTATATGAATTTACAGACAATGTCGTAAACTTCTACAAAAATAGCTTACAATCATTTTAGGAATTGTTAGGAACTCTGCCTAAGGATTAATACCCTGGTCCCAGAGGTTTTTCTTCCCAAAAGAGAGAGCGAGTCGCGAAGAGGCGACAACGAAGAAAAATTTCAAGAATAACCTCTGGGACCAGGGTAAGGGATTAATAATTAAGAAGAGAGCTGGCTGCAGTTGAGATGTCAATTAAACTTCTGTTTAATACGTGAAATATATATCGGTTTGGATGAAAGCAAATAATGCGAGTTCTATAAAATTGAGAAACTAGAATACTAGTAATGGAAACTGATCCAGCAAAAATCAATGGCTCCAGCCAAGAGCCATAATGGCCCATTGTGGCGCTCCTGCTCCAGCCTAAATGAACGAACCATCACTGTTATACCTGAGTACTCCCTATAGAGTTTCCTCCTGGGTGGACATTCTTAGCTGCTAGGAAAAAGCCTTCAGAAAGCAAGGTATGTATTACATGACATGCAGCTTGTTGTTGTTACATTGTAGTAACTGGTAGTAATACATGCAACCAACTGCTAACATAGTTTAGCATGTCCTGCTAGGCGGTACTATTTCCTTAGACAATACACGCCAAACGGGCAAGGCATTTTTTGTGAAAAAAAGCATTCCTGTTTAGTTACCCTGGCCTTTTAGAAACCTAAAGAATAAAAAAAAAAAAAAAACATATTATATACCTCCTAACAAATGCTGCTAAAACTCAGGATGTCCCGTTGGACGGTACCATTTTCTTCGGTAATACCGCAGGGTCGTAACAAGGTATATTTTCTTCCGCCTGATCCCACAGTCCGACCTTAAATTTTGATTCCTGATCCCAAAATTGCTGCAAATCTTGATCCCTGACCCCATGAACATTTTTTTGGATCCCTGGATTCAATCTGGGTTGGATTAGCTGCATATCATATAAAAACTAACTAGACGCCCCTAGTCGTGCATCACCATGTATTCTTGTAGACTACTAATACTAGTGTGGGTAGCTTTAGGGGCGTAGACTGAGACCTTGAAAGTGTACGATGCGGTGATGAAGATTTGCAGCACCGAAGGCGGCCTAGCCTAGGGGAGTCGGGGGGCATGATTCCCCAGAAAATTTTCTAATTTAGGGTCTCGGAAATGCTATCTCCAGCATTTTCTGCAGTGGCCAGAATCCGAAACTCGTTCCTAGTACTCCTCGGCTGTCCTTTTGAACGGTATGGTTTAGGCACAACCGTAGCCTGCGTCGCAGTAGCCTCCCCGCAGACGTCCTTTAGGGTTCGTTTGTCACGCATTCATTTCTCCCCAAACGAACCCCAAAGGACGTCTGCGGGGAGGCTAGCGTCGCAGACGCTCTAAACCTTCTATATGAATGGTGTAGACGAGTGCGTGGGCAGGCTGCAACGCAGGCTAGCACAACCGTGGCGCAAGCTCAATTTAGTAGATAATTGGTGATTATAAACATAACATGTGTGAGGTGTTGCGTTACAAAGTCGGTCAACGGAAGGATTGTATGGGCTCGCAAACACACGCGAGGCGTTGTGGAACAACGGTCAGTTTCAAGATTATAAATGGCCTGAGTGTCAGGCCTTCCTAAGGGGCTAGGGGAGAGGAGATTTTAAATGGGGGAGAGGGGAGGGGGAGAAGAGAAAGGAAAGCCTGACACAAAACCATTCAGCAGATCGTGTGACACATCCAAAATCTGGATGTGGCAGGGATTGGATAACACACATTATTAAAAACTGAATCATTGGATAATGCAATTCTAGCACTTTGATTGGCTTAGCCGTTATGGTATATGAGCTATTATACCATGCTCTCCATATATGGTCGGTGTACGCGTCAGTTTAAAATTGGAAGCTAGCTGAGATTTTTTTCGGGAAGGATAGAACGGCGCCCGAAACAAATTGTTTTAATTCATTTCTTAGAATACTAGAAA